ACGCACGCACGCACGCACGCACGCACGCACGAACGAACGCACGCACGCACACACACACACACACACACATACATACATACGAACTCAAATATAGATTAGATATAAATAAAGCAATAAGTAAGAGCGCCTTTAGAAGAGACATTCTTTTGGAAAGAAGGCTTTTCATCTTTAATAACTGAACTGCCATTGAAATCTACACCTGCCTAGCCTAACTAATATCATCAATTTTCAGCTCGGCATGCTCGGAGTGGAGTATGTTCATTATAAGCGACTCTGATTAAGTCTTTAGCAGGCTGCCGTGGCATCTCGCTTGCTTAATGACACCAGCTGCCTCGCCCCTATTTCCCCAGCCACGGATATTGTTAATGTCGCTGTCAGTGAGATGTGTGACTGTCAGCAGGAGCGTGTATTGTAATGAATTATACACGTGCGGGCTTTGTTGTGCACCGACTCTGGCTAAAGCTGCGGCTGATATAGGGTCTATGTCCCGTCGTTGACGTGTTACGCAACTATGCGTGAGATCACTGAGATAGAGGTGCGGGCGCATTTCTGGAGGCGGGCGCAGCTTTGCTAAGAGGGTCTATGTCCCCCAGGGTACTGCCGGAACGTACCCTGGGTACGGTGCGGTATACCGGAACGTACCTTGGTATCTATCTGATATGGTTAGGGTTAGGGTTAGGGAGTAGGCGTAGGCGACTCGATCCCTAGACTCGTTAGTGGAGTAGGCGAGGTACGGTCCGGCATATCAGATAGTTACCAGGGTACGTTCCGGTATACCGGACCGTACCCAGGGTACGTTCCGGCAGTACCCTGGGGGACATAGACCCTCTTAGCAAAGCTGCGCCCGCTTCCAGAAATGCGCCCGCACCTCTATCTCAGTGATCTCACGCATAGTTGCGTAACACGTCACACGCGTGGTCAGACGAAACCGCGTCACTACAATAGGAGCAATGCTTCGTATACGTATAAGTATAACTATAAGTATAAGTTCGGGATTTGTAATGATTTCGGAGTATTACAGAGCATCGCCAGATGATCGGCTAATCGCGCGAGAGAACAGTGTGCGTAATGTTCGCGTAAAGTACGGCGTTATGCCATTTCGCTCGTTTGCTGTCTCGTTTAACGAAGCTTCCCATTCAACAGGGGAATTAATATCATCCGGATACTGTGCCGGTACGAGTGCTAGAGTTTCGTACATTTTCTTTAAACCCTTTTGCAAAATTGCATCGGCGCACCTGCGTCGCTGGTATGCAAGTAGTTCTAGTCAGTCATATATGCAGGACAGGTTTGTACCGATACTCTAGGGGTGTCCGCATGTTGTGTACCTCTCGGTACCGACTTCTTACTAATATATATAAAGTTTAATGCTAGCTCTAGTTAGTATAATCCGCACGACTCTTTAAAGTGCCGCGCCGTGCAGGGAATACTATATATTATAGTAGCTCGAACTAGCCAAAGACGAACTCTATATTTCTACATCATATTTCACATGAGTCTATATGGCTAAACGGCCACTATTGTGCACGTATCGAAGCCAGCAGGCTTACCAATATAAGGCCCCATTACTTGAGTAAGCCAACGCTCTTGCTGATATAAGCTATAACCATAAACCCAGGATTGACTAAGAACAAATTGGTTTTTATTCATTGCTAATATAAATGTGGTCACTTTAATTTTGTGACCCATTAGCTAATAATATAGGCAACGCCTAGCTGTTACTGCTCATCCGCCAACGCCTACATGCTGTACTGCAACTATCCTAGACGATTCCTAGTCATCTCACATCAATGTTATCACCATCCTTCGCATACACTGGCCCGGCACAATCCTGCAAAACAGTTGCCTACGATTTACCGTGAGTGATAGATCGGAGTCCATCTTCTCTTTGTTTAAATTTGTGTTGAGCAGGCAATTCGAAGCCAATTTTATGTTCCCATCGATGAAAACAAATTATTGTAGTTAGTTAAAGTTAACGGTAAAGATGAGTGCAGTCGGATGCTTTTGATAGGTCTATTGTAACAGCCCCCTCGTAGCTTTACACGGTTTGGCACTGCTGTTTCGCTCACTGGCTATAGTGTTTAGGCGGGTTGCCGTGGTGTGCTTTCCCGGTAGTCATGTTTTACTGCACTTGGTGTTTTACTGCTAGTAGGCTGTCTGAGGCTAGGTCCACTATGTCTCCAGGACGTAAATTGGCATCACTCAATGCCGCTCATTATTTTTTGTTATAATTTCTCGGCGTTTATAGGCTTGAGTTTTGACGCGGCGTCGGTCTTCACCAAATAACTACTAACTAAGAATTAACCGTTATTAATTATAATTATATTTTATTTATTTAATGACGATAGATTGGTATAACAGAGAACATGAGCTTGCACGTTGCTCAACCCTATAGTGTCACCACTAACCAACAACACTACTATAGTGCGAGCGTCATTTTGACTGCTCTCAAAGAGAAGCTATCGGTGAACTTCCCGAATCGTTGGCGTCGTAGATGGCCGTTGTTTGTAAGTCATCCGCTCGCATTTCCGTTGCCCTCCTGCGTAGATTGATTTCTGCGCCGCTAATCCAATATCGTTGTCTTGTGCAGGTGGTAGACTTTAATGAAAGCTTCTCTCTCGTCTGTTGCTCTTGCCGCGTGCCGTACTCAGACGGGAATCAACAAGCACTGATCAGATAAGCACCTGCCGTGAGAGTGCATGCAGCCTTGACAGCGCGCGGATTAAAGCGAGCGTTATTACATTAGTGGCGCTGCGAACGCAATCGGCGGCAGTTGGGCTCGAGAGAAAGGACAATGCGATAGCCGAAAATATAACCATCGTGGTGATTGCGAGCGAAAAGTTGAGCCGATGCAAATTTGCGGGAGAAGCGCTATAGACCGGCCCCGTGTGTCATCGAGAATCAACTGACCGTCGTTGAGAATCCGCCTGACGGCAGAGCCGTGCCGTGACCTCTAGAGCCAGTCTAGGGGCAGCTCGTCAAAAACACGCGTTATCTGTAGCGTTTCGCCCGTTATACGCGTTTATAGCGGCAATAAAAGATTCTGTAAAATTGCGAATATGACGAGGCGTAGCCTCTAACGCGGTGTCAAGCGACGTATTTATTGAAAATAAAAAAAGTTAGCCATTTATATATCAGAGCCTCGATTTCGTGCCAGATATGTCACGTGATCGTTTTAGTGGAATATTATGGTCTAGCCATGTCCAACTCGCTGAGGTTAGTAATCGCTGAAAGTTTGGCCGAATTTTATTGAAAATAAAAAAAGTTATAGCCTTTTATATATCAGAGCCTCGTTTCCATGTTGAAAAATGGTGTTGTTTCTAAAACACCCCCTAAAATAGCCCGGTGCAAGTTTCAATGTTGCCAACATATATTTTCATGTTCCATATGGTCCCCTCGACACATGTAGCCTAGCTGTTTGCTTGTAGCCTGAATTTCCCACGGGATTACATTTGCTCCCTGACTAACGGCCACGTCGCGTTTTAAGAGATGTAAGGAGTGCAGCGCGAGCGAGCCTCTACAACACACAAGTACACCCCACGCACGCCCGCCCTCTATTATACTTGTTGTTTGTGCACAGTGCGGGCGTGCGTGCGGTGTACTTGTGTGTTGTAGAGGAGCATTTGAACGGCATTTACAGCAAGTTATCGGCTATAATAGGCGAAGGAGAGTAGAGAAACATTAAGACTTTGGTAGTAAATACATTTCGTGTTTATTAACATTTTTTGAGACGTTCCAAGTGCCTGTGGCTCCGTACGTAATGGCGGCTAGCTTTACGCACTCGAGGACGCGCCGTCCTCGCAAAGCAATGCTAAGTTAAGCAAAGCTGCTGCGCTGTTTTGCAGTTCAGATCTGCGCGGCGCGGGGGCGGGAAGGAAGGACATTACCTCTCACCTCGTTGTCGTGTCGCCGTTTAGCGGCGATTATCTGCATTTCGCTGCCGGCAATTCTCGCATGTGTGTTACGCAAGCGAGCGTTCATCTGTGCACACGCGCACCGGCGGGAAACGCGCGCGCGCGTCCTGCTGCGCGATTCTGCCTGCTGCATTTGCTCGTGAAATATAGTCGTGGGGTTTCGGAGAAAGAACGTTACGAGTGAGAACTAATGGACGAAACGCATGCTGGCGGGCGGAAGTGCTAGCTAGACGCTCGATTTCTCTAGAGACGCGGCGCTGAAGTTTTGCTCTTTCTGGAAGCGTGGATATTCTTAAACTGAATTAATCAGAATGTGAGGTAATACCTCGTTACGCCGCGCAGGATATAAGCGTGTTACGATCTGTTTTAAATCCCTCTTGCAGCTTCCGCGCACACAATATATATATTTCATTCCGCGCCGCATTGAAGAGTTACAGCAGTCAGACGCGCATATAAGGTCGTAAGGAAAAAGAAGTAATAATTCTCGCCGATGTATCTTGCCCGTCCGTGTTGACGGAGCACGCTTAAATTCGTCGCAGTATTCGCGGCAATGCAGCTGCTTCCACGTCATCTCTTCAGAAAGTCACGGTCGGCATGACAACGCAGCGCAATGATTAATCGCGTTGCTCGTAGTGAGCGGGCATCCATTGATACGCGTGGCGCGGCGGACCGGCGCCTTCAAACGTGCTCAAAAATGCAAGGGTCTCAGACACATTTCGTTGCGAGGATGAACGCATCCCGAACTATATATTGGCTAGTTTTATTGCGAATACGCCATCCGCATTATACCAGCTGTCATTTCACGCTTTCTGAATGTTCGACTCGCCCAGTGAAGAATTTTTGTGTGTCCTTATCGCTCACATGCCAAACGCAGTCTAGGATATGTAGCTTAGATGTGGATGGCGCGACAATATTATAGGGATGCGATAGTAATGGCAACTATAACCCGAATCAGGCGGTTGTGGCTACCTGACGATAGCTGAACCATTATGCATGCGTGAGGTGGGAAGCTGCGGCAGAGTAATATCGGTAAGAGTAATGATTGCTTGTCATCGTCAGGTATAGTTGATATTTGCTCGATGTAGAAGTACATGGACAGCGAGTCACATTATAGCTAGCCTATCTGTGTTCGGCTCATCTCTAAGTTATTACCGTGTCTTTATATTTATATATATATATATATATATATATATGGTAATCACATAAAGTATCTAGTATGCACCACGGCATGTAATTAGTACCTCGCGAGATTTAGGTTCTCAGCCATGCTATAGGAGAATTGCTCATAATAACAGGAAGCCAGCCACTCTCGGGTCGTGTCATGCCTGATGGTGACCAGTAAGAGAAAATTCCTACGGGGGAATTATTGCTCTCAGGCGAATATCGAATTATGATGATTGCTAGTAATTCCGATTTTTTTCTGTGTTTAGTGTCATTTCCCGCGCGCGTAAATGTTTCGGCTGTATATATCTCCTTATGCCACTCCGAGCAGCTCGCGCTGTGTCACATTTATTGCACCGATATCTCCTGAGGAAGTTACTAACTCGTCTTTACGCTGCGCTTAATATTTTTACGGCAACAACAGTGCAATCTCATTACTGAAGTGTTGCGTGTAGAAGGTGCTTATGACACCCATATCGGTTCCTCACCGGTGCTTATATTTACGCTCTCGCGTGAAACGTCTATTGCTGTTAAACCTGTACGGGTGTATAATCGTCGATGTATGTGATTTATATTTTTTTTAATTAACGCGGACGTTGGTGCGTGCGTACGTGCATGCTTACTCGTGTGTGTGTGTGTGTGTGCGTGCGTGCGTGTGCGTAAGTGCGTGTGTACGTGCGTACATGTGCGTGCGTGTGTGCGTACGTGCGTGCTTACTCGTGTGTGTGTGCGTGCTTATGTGTGTGTGTGTGTGTGTGTGTGTGTGTGTGTGTGTGTGTGTGTGTGTGTGTGTGCGTGCGTGTGTGCGTGCGTGCGCGTGCGTAAATGCTTGATTTTCTCCCGCTTCCTCCATATAGCATAACCAACGTTACGTATATATCAGGAGTAGATAATAGGGACTATTATCTACTCCTGGTATATATTCAAGCCGCGCGCGTACTGAGTACAAGCGTCGCCACTGATTGCCGTGTGTATAAAAACGCGTGACCGTCGTGCGTGCCTTTTTCCAATTTCACGCTGTCCCTCCACACGATACCTACGATTCACATCAGGCGCCTACTGCCACCCCGCTGCGTCGTGTGTAGCAGTGGTCGCGACCGTCTCTGATCGTCTGCTGTCGTTGCAGGCTGTGGGACGACGGCGTCATTGATCCAGCCGACACGCGCACCGTGCTCGGACTCAGTCTGTCCGCCTCGCTGAACGCACCCATCCCGGAGACGAAGTTCGGCGTGTTCCGCATGTAAGCAGCCGTGATGCTGCGATGGCAGGAAAATCTACGGAGATCGGGATAGTCAGGGCTAGCTGGAAGATATACGGAGGTTGGGATGGTCAGTGCAAAACAGGAAAATCTACGGGGTTCGGGATGGTCAGGGATAGCAGGATCACCTACGGAGGTTCGGATAGTCACGGATAGCAGGATGACCTACGGAGGTTGGGATAGTCAGGGATAGCAGGATGACCTATGGAGGTTGGGATAGTCAGGGATAGCAGGATGACCTACGGAGGTTGGGATAGTCAGGGATAGCAGGAAGATATACGGAGGTTGGGATAGTTAGGGATAGCAGGAAGATCTACAGAGATCGCGATGATCAGTGCTATCAGGAGCGAGTAGCGTTGTGGGAGTTAGTGCGGCGGAAAAGGGGGAGACAATGGAATCTGTAGAGACTGGTGACACGTAAATGTCGGGTGAGGAATTGGTGTGATTCCGCAGAGGAGTAGGCGGCCTTTTCATAGACTGTTCTGTGGATTCATGATAACAAACGAGGACCAGAAATTGCATGATGGCACAGTAGTCGGTACAGTATTGGTTAGACATTAGCCCGTTGTATTAATTAGCTTTAATTACAGACAGTTTATATTTTAGATGAAAACTTGTTTGAGATTAGAATGATAGTGAGGAAACGACTCCATGTTACTGTTATCATGTAGATTAAACAGAAATGCAGTCAAAAATTCGTTACATGGATTACTGGATGTTTTTCTTCTTATTCTTATTGATCCTGCTGCCGTGCAACGCGACAATAGGTAATGTCATCACACGCGATTGTACGAGTATCTTTAGCTTACGAGAGCTATGGTTTCATGTGTATATTAGGTTTTTGTCTTGTGAATTCTGGGTACTTGAGTGTTATCAAGCGCTATAATGTTGCGTCATGAACATATTTATACATACCGTATTCCATAAAGTGTACGTACTGTACATCCAGCTCTACTTATTCTATTTCAAGTTGTATAGGCACGTTCATAGTTTCAGGTACGTTCATGGTTACATGTGCGTTCATGGTTACAGGTACGTTCATGGTTACAGGTACGTTCATGGTTACAGGTACGTTCATGGTTACAGGTACGTTCATGGTTACAGGTACGTTCATGGTTACAGGTACGTTTATTTTCAGCCGGTTACCGATATCACCGGTACTGCGTCTGACAAACCCGTCGCTATCCTCCCCCCCACACACACACACCGCGTGGCATTGTTAAACCTTAAACATTCGATTATTCACGAACACTCTATCAAGTAGGGAACACTCTTGTCTCTTTCATTGTGATTAATGACGTCATGAATCGCGTGATACAGCGGCAATGCGTGCATCACCTGCTCTTATCTATTTCGTGGTGATAAATTACAGCACGGAGTTACGCAACGCCAACGCATGCGCAACCCTGCTTTTATCAATTTTACGGCAATAGCTGACGTTACAATGCGACACACCGGCGCACCCACGCACACTACCAACTATAGCAGGACTAATTACTAAAGCCCGGGAAAGTCCGTTGTGTGGCTACATGTGGTCACGAGATGCAACCCTGAACGGCTAGATTGAGACGCAGAGCCGGTTTCTATTGCTGCGAGACAGCCAGTACTTCATGTGCGAATTCTGTCAACGTGCGAAATGTCGGAATGCCTCAGCCGGCGAAAGTGAGTCGTAACTAGCAAGTTCGTCTGCTTAATTGATTAAATTAGGAAGGACGTACTGCAGCAGGTTGCGCGCTTTACTGCCGCGCTAATTAAACCTCGTATATCCGTAGACCGACTCCGTACGTCGTTCGTCGTCAGAGATTCTAGTAAGATCTATTGTGATCTACAAGATCATTTGGAGTCCGTTTGGTGTATCATTGTGAAAGTTCGTGACAGATAAATACTCTCTGATTTGCTCTTTTGTTGCTTGTATTCATGGTATCGTATAATTGGTCATTAAAAATTCAATGCATGACGTGTCTCTACAAATATTGCCAGATATGATCAGGAGTAGATAATAGGGATTAATAATTCCCTATTATCTACTCCTGATATGATCAATGTAACGTTTCGCTACTTATATATAATTAAGCATTGTTCCAGGAAAACGAAAAAAAGTTGCTTAGTTAACGCGGTGATATCGGATGCGGGTCGGCCTGACAACTCGAGATCGCATTTTCAATTAATTCGAATACTATAGTATGGATGCGCCACAAATACGCGTCCGTCAGCATACACACATGCATATACAATCGGCGATATTCGGTAGAGTCATATCGTATGGTAAGCCCGTCATTATCTCTGTTTACCGAAGAACTTTTATTGACAGAATCAGAGTGAAATCTCACTGCATGGTCAATGTTAGAGTCCCTGTATATATAGCGGATTTGTGTAAAGTACGACGCTAGACAATACCGTGAGTGTGCCCGGTGTATTTAACAGGTTGCCTAAAGCGCTTAGCCTATACATGACGCTAAGAGTGTATTATAGGATCGACAGTTGTCGACTTTCCTTACTGCGCTGATATATGTGCAGTTCTCTGTCCAATGGAGCATTAACAGCTGTCAGTCTTGCGTCTCTGATCCAGCTCGCTTTGCGAAAATCTCCCTCGTTTTTAATAATTTAATACTTGTATAATTGAAAATGTTTTGTTTTCGGTTAGCGAAAAATACTGCATGAAGTACTGCCATGAAGTAAAAACTATAATTGCCAGCTGAAAATCAATGTTGCCCCCTGAGCGATGCCGCCACCTAGCATAAATACTGTTTCTTGCCACCGATGGCCGCCACGATGTGTCGCAAAGGAACGTTAGAATCGGTCGACGAGGACTGTATATCAAATCTGGTGAAACGCAATGATAGCAGAATTTTTAACCGCGTTTGTACAAACAAATTCCAATAAAAATGCCGAACCCTATAATAATGTCCCCAACAGATGACACTCTGATTTGTTTATCTTATATCTATGGGCTTAGCCCGAATGATGTAGATTATAGGTTGCGCAAAATTAAGTATCATTTCAGTACACATAACTATATTTTTCCCTCGCAACCATGTAGGCAATATTTGTATAATATTAAAATATAGTATAAGTTAATATACTATCAGTTACACGATATACCTTCGATAAAATCACCAAAATGAAGAAGTCCAAGCAACCAGACGTTAGTTGTAACCACAACTGAGCGTCAAAGATATTCGGCGCTTCACCAGCAGCCCCGAAGGCACATCAACCGATAATCTAATGATCATGCACAGCCTCGCCTCATCCCGCTGAAACTTTTCTGACAACCTTTTATTTATTTATTTATTTAAAGACGGTACGCTGGTAAAATCTATATCGACATGAGCTTGCAAGCTCCTCATCGTCAGTGAAGCAAATATTGCAAATGCGTGCGTAACGTCCACACGGCATTATGTTGCCTTCCTTCTCCCACAGCCACAGTTTCATATATCACTGACACGACGGACCGGTAATTATGAGTAGTAATGACTGTTATCTGACAAATCAATAACGCTTTCCGATCAGTCGGCAGCGCTCGCTACAAACGCGCACCGCATTATCACTTTGTTGATACTACCATCACCGACAAGGTGTCGAACAAGTCGGCCCATTAGGCTTGCTGCCTCCACAATGGTAGTGAACTACACGTTCGTGTAGGGGTCCTATGACCACGCCGCGTGTACGTGCATCTGATGGATGCGGGTAGGTCAATGTAAATGTCACCTGTAATGGCTTGCGCGCGTTCGTAGATGCTCTAGCTATAAGAGTCGTCCATCGGAGTTTAGCCAAGGACGCGACCGCGAGGAAATCACTACGTAATTACGGGTTTCCCGTTCCCACCCGGCGGGTAAATTCGGAGCGTGTGCGGGGTACACCGATTATATCCTGCGACAAAACCCGGCGACTAAAACCGTAAAGGCCGGCGCACACCAGCCGATTTATCACGCGATTTGATAGGCCCGATAAAAATCAGCCGATATCGGGTAGGTGTGCGCGTTCATTTGTAGACGATTTTACTTACGATTATTTTTATCGGGTGATCATTCCAAATCAAACATGTTTGATTTTGAACCGATTATTTTGAAGCGATTTTTTTGTAATCCGGCAATATTTTGTAGTGTGCGTGTGAACTCAGAAAAATCCTCTACGATAAATATTGAACAGCCAATAGCTGAACGTGTCCGTGTCACATGACATTGAAAATGCATTCTTGCAGAACAAAATAATCAATTATATCGTAGATGTGCGGGTGTTTATCGGAAGGCGTCGCGCTGAGCCGATTTTACAAACGATGAAGAGATTTTGTAATCGGACCGATTTCTGGGAAAATCTTTTTAGGTGTGCGCCGGCCTTAACATAGCGCCTGGCTTAAACTGCTCGCGGGGTTTCAATTACGAAGGTTATAACCTGCGTGCAATCCTCAAAGTTTACCCAATATAGACTATACGTCCATGAGCCAGCGATGATAAAGACCTTCGCGTGTATGATATCAAGAGCTCATGATAGAGAGCTCTATTATGAGCTCTTAATGATTTCGACACTTCTTTCGCTGTGCGTGTCTCGCGCGGCTGCCTGCATGCGGGCATGATAATGCTGCTGCCAGCGCTCTTATGCGAGTACGTGCTGATAGCTCACGGGTCATTAACGGCTTTTCCGTCTCTTGGTACGATTTCTGTACCGCCTGTTCGCTTCGCCTGTAATGTCAGACTGATCGTACATGCGTCAAGTTTCTTCTTATGATGATTCTCTGTTTAGTTTTCTAGTTCGCTGAGACACTGGCACGCTGCATCACGTCGGCTAACTCGTTTAGTCGCCGGTACATGGCGAGATTACAGGTATACACTCATCTACGGACATACACACATTTATGACGTGCGCGCAGGTGCGTGCGCACACAGGCGCATAGAACAGAATCAGTAGCCTCGTTCACACGAGACCTCGTATTTATGAAATACGGTATTTGCGAAATACTGAATCTGAGACAAATACGCGGCCGAGCGCTCACACGCTGATTCGCGGCTCCAGAAATACGGTATTTGCGAGCTGCGAGCTGCTTTAAACAATCAAGCGAACAATGCGAAATAAACAATGCAATGCCCCCAACTGCCGATAAAATACGTAGACTGGTCCGCGCTCGACAGTTCCGCTCGCGCTACACTGGAACTGTCGAGCGCGGACCAGTCTATAAAATACGCGGCTTAATAGCCGCGTTCACACGTAGCAAGAAATCCGGTATTTAGCGTACACACGAGGAAATGCGCGGTCCAAGAGATCCGGTATTTCTCAAGCACGGCAAATTGTTCGGAGTCTGGGAAGCCGCGTATTTACATCAAATACCGGATCTGTTTAGATATCGTATTTTTTGGACCGCGCATTTTGCCTCGTCTGAACGCTAAATACCGGATTTCTTGCTACGTGTGAACGCGGCTAACCACGACTGAAAATATCAAGAACGTATAAAGAAGGAGCGCGTACAACGGTGAAATGCTGAAACCATGTTGCAGTATTAGTCGAATTAATAAACTTTCCCCGTTTTATTTTGACGATTCTTTGCAGTATTATTGATCAGCTGTCCTACCTTGTTAATATAAAACAAACCGCATGTCCCTACGATGCCCCTACGCTGAGATAATGAGCGGTGAAAATCTGGTATTTTCGACGAAAACCGACTCGAGATCAGTGTTTACTGCAACTGTCTCTCGCTTTGAGATAACTTCGGGAAACCTCGCGTGTTTCCGTCAATGATTGACAAAGGGAATGAATGACGTCTGTTATTGATTGCCATAGTGATGACCCCCACCTGTGCCCACCTCACGCTGGATGTATAGTAATCTCTGTAGTACTGACGTGAGTCAGCGCTACCATGGCGCTACACAGCGGCGACCGGAAGCAATACACTGGCCACAAAGCGAGAGACAGTCGCAGTAAACACTGATCTCGATAAAATAAACCGGGCAAAGTTTCTTAATTCGACTAATACTGCAACATGGTTTCAGCATTTCACCGCTGTACGCTCTCCTTCTTTATACGCTCTTGAAAATATGATAGCCGTTCCATGCGGGCTGCGGTACTCAAGAAACCATAGCTGTATATATATAATGGGTAATATAAATATGTGTTATTGATTGCCTCATCTCACACGCAACGGTGATCATATTTCCAGTTCTAACAGACTGTTCTAAGTACCTGGGCGCACGCACACTTCTCTGAAGGCACACGCACGCGAGTATGTGCACGCGCACACTCACTCCCACACATTCGCGACATGACTTCCGTTTCTTTCTTTTAATTATCGTTTGCTCGCAGTCATTAACATTTAACGTCTTTCAGGACCCGTCTTTTGTACGTCACGCCGTTATCGGCCGCCACGCGTCGACAAGCACAAATAGAAATGCGAACATGCATCTGCTCTATATGCATCGCTCGCACGCGAGCCGGCGCGCACATTGACTCGCACACAGGCACTTGGGACTCGCACGCCATTGCGCGCACCGCCGCATTCAACGCGTTCCGCGAAGTTGTCGCCCGTTAGTCGTGACGTCACGAGAGAGCGCGTGGGAGGCGGTGGTAGGTTTCTGACAGGCAGCCGCGCGCACACACGCATCTCTTGCACACGCACATGCACACGCGGACACGCGCACGTCGTGTGCTGCTGCCAGACTCGGTTCATCGTGCGCAGTCATCGGCAGCAGATATCGCGCTATTTACATACTTTAAGGGCGTTGTCAAGCAGCAGCTGCAGCCAGAAGATCTCTACGCCTAGGCGTACGCGCATCGGGTCATTAACGAGCTAGCAACATCGGACAGCGCGATTCAGGTTGTCAATTTGCTTTGAGAAAGCTCAACCTATAACTGGTTATATTACCCGAGAAGGCTTACGCGTGCTTTCGACCCCCCACCGGCAATCTATAAATTAATATTGTGATAATATTATAACGCGACATACCCGCGACGAGCAATTTAAGGAACTGAACATTTATCGGGAAGCCTATATCGACCCTTCCTCGTGTGAATGTGGAACGAATCGTTCGCGCGGTGAGTGAGAATCGCACGCGCTATTCAAGCCGTAGGTGTAAACTTCTGCCGACGCATAGAGACGGCGAACGCTAGCGCTCCGTTCACAGACGAGCTTCACAAGGTTGCACCGCGTACCGTCACGCTGCGAGGACGCCAGTGCTAGCTAGAATCACGCGCACACGCACCTGAGAGACAATGAAGATTCTTATTGCGACCTTTCTTCTCGGTTTCTTTACACCACTCGTCATCGCCAGCGCGCTGCACCGGGTAAGAAGTTACGTGTTAGTTAAATGAATCGTCCTGACTATAGTGTGTGCGTGCGTGCGCGTGCGTGCATGTGCGCGTGTTAACGCGTGGTGGGAGTGCCTATACGTGTCTGTGTGATTCCTTGCCTATACGTACGTTCCTACGTGTTTATGTGTGTACGTGAATGCGTGTGTGTGCGTGTGCGTGCGTGCGTGTTTGTCTGCGTACATGCATCCGCGCGCGCGTGCGCGCGTGTGTGTGTGAGTGTGTGTGTGTGTGTGTGTGTGTGTGTGTGTGTGTGTGTGTGTGTGTGTGTGTGTATGTACATGTGTCCATGCGTACTTGCGTGCCTGCGTGCGTGCTTGTATGCGCGCGTGTGTGAATGCACGCGTATATACGTGCGTGCGCGAGAGCTTGTACTATCGCGCGTGTACACGTGGTGTTGCGATGACAATGGAATAATGAGGCTTAACTATGTGTGTGGATTTTATTCCGTCCGATCCCAGCGATGAGATTAAGGAATTATTTAGACAAAGCCTCTATTCGAATCCGATCAGGAATCGAATAAATTTTATTTGAGCACGCTATTAATGCTTTTATGCTTCCGATGGCCGCAAAATGTTGCACGCACCCACCGGTTTGCCCAGCTTATGTAAACTGCCTAATCTATTGACCTGAAACATATATAGCCACAGGACACACGCACCCGCGCGCACGCATCCGTAAAACGGGAGTTAACGATACATGACACCACGTTCTAACGATACATGTCATCACGTTCTAACACTACAGCCTCGTCTACACGACAAACCTTAACTCGGAGTTAAGCTAACGTCGAGTTAGGTTAATCGAGTTAGCCGATTATGTGCGTCTACACGACAACCACCGATAGCGGATTTATTACCGATTTATTATGCATGCGTGCCGTCGCGGTGCCGTATGTTAACGTGCGTGCGTGCGTGTACTTGTGCGGGCGTCTGTGTGCGTCGGTGCGTGCGTGCGTGCGTGGTGCGTGTGTGCGTGCGTCGCGTGCCGTGCGTGCGTGTGTACGCTCACGTGCGTTCGTGCGTCGCGTGCTGCACGTCCCGTACGTTGCTTGCGTGAGTGCCGTGCGTGTGCCGTACATGTCGCGTGATGCGGTGCTTGCGTGCATGTGCACGTACAGTGCGTTCGCTGCAGTGCGTGCGTGCGTGCGTGGTGGCAGTACAGCCGTGCGCTGCGATGCGTGCATGTGCTGCGTGTGCACGTACATGTGCGTGCATGCCTGCGCTGCGTGCATGTGCACGTACACGTGCGTTGCCGGCGCCAGTGCTCCTGTGTGTGTGCACGTACACGTGCGTGCGTGCGTGCGTCTGCGCTTGCGGTGTGTCTGCCGCGTGTGTATGTGCACGTAGCGTGCGCGTGCGTGCGTGGTGTGCCGTACACGTGCGTGCATTGCGTGCGTGCGTGCGTGTGTACCTACCGTGGCTGTGCATGCGGTGCGTTGTGCACGGTCACACGTGCGTGCGAGGCGTCCGTGCGTTGCGGTGTACCTACCGTGCGGTGCATGACGTGCGTGTGCACGTACACGTGAGTGCATGCGTGGGCGCTGCGTCGTGTGTGTGCACGTACACGTGGCGTGCGTTTCCGGTGTGCGCGCGTTGTGGGCAGGTACACGTTTGCGTGCCGTGGCGTCGTTACGTGCTGTTGTGTGCACGTACACGTGCGTGCAGTAGTGGTGGTCCGTGTGGGTGTGCACGTACACGTGCTGTGCGTTGCCGCTCCGCAGGCTGTGTGCCGCGCGTGTGCATTCTGCACGTAGACGTGCGTTTGCGTCCGCGTGCCGTGTGTGCGCCGCGTGTGCTCTGACGTAGACGTGCAGCTGCTGTGCGTGCGCATGTGACGTACACGTGCGTGCATGCGTCCGTGTGGCTGTGCACGGACACGTGCGTGCGTGCGTGCGTGCGTGTGTCGCGCGCGTGCTGCATGTGCACGTAGACTGTGCGTGCGTGCAGTGCGTCGTGTGTGTTGCTCTGTACACGTGCGTGCATGCATTGCGTGCGTCGTTCGTGCGGCGCTGGTGTACCATGTGGCCACTGTAGACGTGTCAACGGGCGCTGCGTGGGTACGTGCGGCGTGTGCCGTTACCACGTGCGTGCATGCGTGGTGCGTGCGTGTGTACCTTACACGTAGTGGTGTGCACGTACACGTGGCGTGCAATGCGTGCGTCCGTGCTGTTGCACGTACACGTGCGTGCGTTCGCGTGCGCTGTGTGCCGTCGCGTGTGCCGGTACACGTTCGTGCGTCTGCGTGCGCGGCTTGTGCAGGCTACACGTGTGTGCCATGTGTTGCCGTGTCCCGTGCGTGCGTGCCTGGGTGTGTGTGCAGTACACGTGCGTGCGTGCCGTGCCAGGCATGGCACGCTCACACGTGCGTGCTGTGCGTGCTGGTGACGTGTGCACTCGTGCGGTGTCGGCGCGTGTGCATGTGCCACGCTACACGTGCGTGCGGGGCGGGCGGTGCGTCGGTGTGCGCGCGCGCTGCAGGTACACATTCGTGCGTGCTGCATGGCTTGTGCAGTACACGGTGTGTTGTGTGCGTGGGTCGTGCGTACGTTGCGTGTGTGTGGCAGGTCACGAGCGTGTGCGTGCATGCATGTGCACGTAGACGTGCGTGGTGCGTGCGTGCGCCTGCGTGTGCCGTACACGCTGCGTGCATGCGTGCGTGCGCTGCGTGTCCCGTACACGTGCGTGCATGCAGTGTGTGTGTAGCGTGTTGCAAGTCCAGTACACGTAGCGTGGTGCGTGCGTGCGTGTGTACGTACATCGTACTAGTGTTGCCGCCTATCGTGGAGTTATGTACTATTCGCTAACTCGAGTTAAGGTAACTCGAGTTAGCTTAATCTCGATTACCTTAACTCGAGTTAAGGCCCCGTGTAGACGCTTAACTCGAGTTAAGGTTCGTCGTGTAGACGAGGCTTACATGACACTACGTTCTAACGATACATGACATCACGTTCTAACGATACATGACACCACCGTGTAACGATATATGACACCACGTTCTAACGATACGTGACATCGCGGTATAACGATATATGACATCGCAGTATCACGATACATGACACCACGTTCTAACGATACGTGACATCGCGGTATAACGATATATGACATCGCAGTATAACGATACATGACACCACGTTCTAACGATGCATGACACCACGTTCTAACGATGCATGACATCACGTGCTAACGATACATGACACCACGTTCTAACGATGCATGACATCACGTTCTAACGATACATGACACCACGTTCTAACGATACATGACACCACGTTCTAACGATACATGACACCACGTTCTAACGATACATGACACCACGTTCTAACGATGCATGACATCACGTTCTAACGATACATGACACCACGTTCTAACGATACATGACACCACGTTCTAACGATACATGACACCACGTTCTAACGATACATGACACCACGGTCTAACGATACATGACATCACGTTCTAACGATGCATGACATCACGTTCTAACGATACATGATACCACATTCTAGCGATACATGACACCACGTTCTAACGACACGTGACACCACGGTCTAATGATACATGACACCACGTTCTAACGACACGTGACACCACGGTCTAATGATACGTGACATCGCGGTATAACGATAGGTGACGCCACGGTCTATAACAGTAACGGTAACCGTAAGCCTATACTACATGTTTCTACTTGGTAAAACTACAAATTAATCATCATGCATGAAGTTTGCCTTTCAAATATTTTGCATTTCATGATATCTGCTTTTGTTGTATCGGGAAGGTTATTGCAAACATGAAGTGGTGGCAAATGACGTTTTGTCTCGAGCCAAATCGGATTCCACTCCAATCTCCGCATACTTGCTTCCTCGCCTACTACGCTGTTATTTCTCACCGCGAATGGTTCCCGGTTGGTTGTCAGCATTGACTCTGCATCCGTCAGAAATCCGCGCTACCTAAATCGGTAAATTACTGATTTATTGACTCCGCTACTATTATGCCCGGCGAAGAGTGTACACTTATAAAATAGCGTGTAATTCGCGGGCGATCTTCTAGATACTAATCATTATGATGATGTAGCCAGTCACCTGTGACAGCCTTGCGCAACTTAATTGCATGCACTTTGTTTGCATGCACTCGTCGCTCGTCTCAGCGTATCATCTGTTATTCTCGTTAAAATTGTTTGAAAGAAAAAAGGGAGTGAGAATCGCAAAACCAGACACTTTCACCGATCATCATCCGCCATGAGTTTGTTTCCTGTTGTCATTACGTAACGTGTTTTATTCGCATCATCTTTTAATTAAAATCATCATTTCATCGCGTCACACGCATAGGAACGTCAAGCTATGCAAGCATGCGCCGTGTGCCCTGCGGGGGTTGTTCGTGCTCCATTCATACACTGCGTACAAATACATTAAGCGCTCATTCTTGTTTGTAAGTATTATGTAAATTCGTCTACTCTTCGCGCAATTAAATGCGACTGATGTAAATCGCACATCGATACTAGCGGTTTGTCGCAGCATGGAACACCCACGACCCGCGCTGCGCATGCGTAGACACGTCATCGATCATGGCTCACGCTACACGCTGCAGTGCCGCTTTAGTGTGGTGGCGCCACGGGTGCCTAATGTGACATCGCTTGGTCGGTGAAGGTCGAGCGGGATGACATTAAAACCAGCACGTGTAGATGATGCGCCGTATATCGGCTAATCGGCTCATAGCTGCATGAATAACCGCGCGCTTTGTCGCGTTATTTCCCAGTAGTTAATTACATATTGCGCAATTTAGTTTGCTGTGCGCAGACCGAGATCTATATATCATTAATTCTTAATGTCGGCATTATATAGTTGACCTTTCTGCCTAGAGTGATTGACAGGTGGGTCTTTCTGTGATATTAATAAACGTGCTCAAGAGCACTAGCCTGTGTATGATGCGCGGAGTTATTCTGGTTGACGCCATGGGTTCTTTTCGTCGTCGTCGGTG